GATTTATATCTCAGAAACAAAGACAAGTATGCATAACTTCCGTATGGCAACTTCGGCCAGTTATCTATTCCCGGTAGTGCATTGTTAACTGCTGATTAACATTAGGCACGCCCTCCTCATCACAATTTCTGCGTGACTCAGTTTGCCGATTCTTAGCAGCATCTATTGTTGTGTATTTGTGTACGAACACGCGCGTATCGATTAGACGGTTTCATGAATCAACTGCTTTTTTAGGCGACTCTGACTCTGTTTCGTTACTGTAGGTACTTTTGGCGGTGCAGGCTCTTGAGAATGTGTTCCTGGAAAAACAGAAATTACTTCTAGCTTGCCCAAAACAAAACGAGGAACTGAAGGAAAGGCTGGTCATAGTTAGATTTATATTCTTTTTCGAAAGTCAGTTCATTTGGAGAAACAGGTACTTGTAGTTCCGTGATAAAAAGTGCGAAAATTCTTTCGGCAAAGACCAACTATTACCTCCCACTGGGGTCTTACAAAATACTACCTTTGACAGCAAAGCTTCAATTATTGTTGACTCATTCAGTCTACTTCTAGAAGACGGGAACCCGTTAACGATCAAGTTCAATGAAGCAGGTAAATTCTTCAGAGGTTCCGCTATCTAACTTTTCAAAAGAATTTTACTAGGTGATTTATCAAATGCCATGTTTTGTGTGGAAGAAAGACAACAGTATAGGTTACGCATAGACTTACTGGTTAATAAAAATGTAAAAGAACTCAGGTGAGTAGCATAACTATTCGAGGCTTCTTTAAACAGCTAGCTTTATTTTAGTGATCATTGTTCTAGATATGTGCACTATTTTAAGAAGCTTCGAATGAGATGGTTAAACAAAGAATTTTCACTAGGACCGTTGGCCCTACAAAATGATGTGCAAAATATCGCACTGCCATTTCAAACTGCTCCTCAAGGCAAGTTCGTAAATACTAAGTCAGCTTACAATAAAATAGCAGTAAGCTGGAAGTGCCAGCAACTGGCGCCCAAAGGCTCTGAATGGTGCTGTGGGGTTGTGCTCCAACATTGATTGTAAATGACATGACTACATTCGCAGTTGGTGCGCAAAATACCCAC